TGGAGAAAAAAGAGGGAATGGCTGTCGCGAACTACGGAAAGATATCCTGTTTCGTTATTTAGAACGAGGGACTTCCCTCTTTGGAGCCGAGTGCTCGGTTCCTCTGAAAAATTCAACGCTCGCCGCTGAAATTGCGTATCGACGGAAGTTGCTTGTCCTGATCAAGGATCAGGATGGATCAGGAAACTACTTTTCCTTCCTGGAGCTTTATTTTCAGCAGACGTTCGCTTAGACGGCTTTCAATGATACGGAAACATTAATTTTTGTATCTATATTTGAATGTACAGTGAAAATTTCCAATTTTAAGGTACAAATGTACCTCAGGTGTTACGAGACAGAAAAAATTAGATACCCAGATTGGATTTAAAGAAACAAATAAGTACATAAGACACGAGGATCGATTTACAAACACGTGGAGATTCGACGTAGATGGTTTTATCCGATGGAAATTGAAGTTTCCACGAAACTTCCAGCGATTTAACTCACGAATGCGTTAAGAGGCTTGCTTCGAAGAGGGTAGAAAGAAAATTTTCATAATATCGAACGCAACTGTGACCCAAATTTCTCTCTGTTCGAGTGGTATACTTCTTCGAGATTGCTCGTGAAATGAGACTTCGGGAAGAAAGGAACGACCGGCAATATTTTCCACGTAAAAACTGATTTTTGGACGATTTCACGTGTGAAGGTGATTCGAGCGGAAAATAAAAATTACTTTTTCAGTATGGCGAGGGCGAAACTGTGATTTTTCAAAGGAAAATAGGATACTAGAAGGTCAAAAATTTCAATTAACAATAAAATATTTTCAATCTTCTCGGAAATGGAATTTGAAACTAAACAATTGATAGTTATAACAGGTTTCAGCGCGTCTTATTTTGAGAATAAAATGTGTGCTGCGCGTTCATTAAATTGAATACATTCTCTTTCTTTTTGGAATGTGGTACTGATTGAAAAAGGAAAATTGAAACGCTGTGTCGATGAAACACTCAATTGTTATTCCAACATTTTTAGCCTGAAATGTTGCCTACGCTATTGCAAGTACAATGCAACAACAATTTTTCCAAAATAACAAAACGGTTAATAGAAATACGAGTATCGATAAAGGAAAAGCATTTCCTCGTATTTTGTGATCGAAACGAGACTGGAAAAAGGAGAATGAGTAATTTAATAACAAATGGATAACGACGCGAATAAAAACCTCACCGGTGGAAACTGTATCACAGAATATCTCCTCTCTTTTTTTTTTTATTATTTTTATCAACGCGTATTCTTGCCGCGCTAGCTTATGGAAAGCTGCATTCGAATAACGTGGAACGGGGCAATAAGAATCGAACGAGTTAGAAGAAGCAAATTGAAAAATTTAATGGTATATCGGAAACGATGCAGAGAACGCTGGAGTCACCCAGCTTCCTTGTTTCGTGAAATATTCCATCGCTTTTTCTCTTCTCTCCTTTTTCAGTCCCGCGAAACCAGGCTACTGGCACAAAACAGAACGATGGAAATCAAAGTCTGACAGAGAATTGTTACGAGAATCGCAGGTGATTCGCAGGAGCATTCTTTCGCGAAAGGAAGATTAACCCCCGTAAGAAAATGAATTTCAAGAACCGGGTGAACAATATCGCCTCTTTTCGATCCATTATTCAGTGGTTACTTCCACTGCGAGACAAAAATGTTTAATATACCTCGAACAAAGAACATTTCATCCAAATAGCTGAAAGCATTTCCATTGAGATCGAACGGAATTCAGTGAAATAAAGGCTCGATAATCGATACATCGAGCGAACCGTTAACGGGGTCCCAGAGGAACGGTGAAAAAGAAAAGAAATTAACGAAAATGCTCTCGCCGATGCGACGACCGCGAATTCGTTCGTCCTTCGGGAACCGGATGGAAAATCGACGCCGGTCGCGGGGGTTGCGGCGAACGCACCGAACGAACATACGAAGGTTAATCAATTCCAGACGCGGCGTCGTTTCCGCAGACTTAATTCGTGCTTCTCCGGTGCGGCACGAGGCCCTCGGCAGCCTTTCTCATTATTATCCGACGTACGAGAGGGTTGGAAAGCACCCCACAAGGGAGTCTGATGCCGCGAGCTGCCTTCCAAGGATGAGGCAAGACCGCTCTTGTTCCCTCCTCTTCCTCTTCCTTCAGCTTCAGATTCGCCTCCGCTCCTTCTATTTCCGAGTCCGTGCTTCGTTGTAGCAACTTTGTTCTCCGGAGAAATTCCCCGTAGCGCTATCTACATATTTGATGTCGCCTCGTCCACTCCGCTAATGCTTCTCGTTAGAAACTTACCGCTTTACCCGCGACCTACCACCCGTGTGGTTTCCTCTTCCTCTTTCCACCCGCCACCTCCTCAAACCTCTACCCGTCTTTTGGCCACCGTTCCTCTCTCCTTTCTTCCTTCTTTCTCCCTGTTTCCTTCTTTCCACTCTGTAAACTCCACTCGCTCTCGATCACCCATACTTTCGCGGTTCAAGGGTTAAATCATTAGTTCTCAACGTAGAACGGTAAACGTTGGTCAAAACGACGGGCAAAGACAGTTGAAACTTTTGCTACTTTGTGGACAGATGGGAATAATGATTTAAAGACTGCACGTGAAGTACGTATTTAAGTACCGAAAGGTGATTTTTCAGTTTTTTGCTTCAGGGAATTGAACGAAATTTAAAATACTATCGGCAATAATTTTTTTTTTTTATCATGAATATAGATTCGAAAAAGGGATCCCATTCGTTTTTACCAAAAATCGCTTCAATAATTCCGACGATGCTTTCAGCGGTTGTTATTGCTGCAATTTTCAATTCGACCCTTTTTTTTTCTATATCGCTGTTCCGGCAACTTCGGTGGACCGTGTTTCGTAACGAGATGATGCGCCGACACAAAAATGATCCGTGTAACGTTATTCGCGTGTACGGTTACGTAAAAAGCACGGGACCATTTCAGTCGGGTCCAATCGAACGTAAAGCGGGCCAGTTTACCGTAGCGACCACGGTTAAATGATTTCCGGTGCATTAAGGGAAAATATTGCAATGGCATTCGTCGCGCGATCCTGTTCGTCTGCGTGACACGAATGATCGCGTATATTAATGCGCTTGTTAAACGAGAACGAAATTCACCCTCTTTGAAAAAGGGAGGGTTGCAAATATCGAAGTACCATCTGCATTCGTATAACAAAGTATAAATAAATAGAAATGAAAATTGAATTTCTTGGTATCGTGGATAAAATAATGATCTTTCAATTAAAGTCAATTAACCGAATATACTTCGGCGATAATTTCATAATAAAAGTCTGGATAATTACGAAACAGTAAGAACCACTTTTATCGTTCTTAGCAAAGTTTTCCATAACTTAAGAAGCAGTTTGAAAGATAGCATCGGTGTTGAACGTCGTTCTTACTTAAATAAACGAGCAGAGAAGAAAAAAGAAGGAATAGGGTTGCTTCTCATTTTTGTCGCGAATAGTTGAACGATAAAGGAAAGTAATCGCGGCGAGGAGAGGGATGGAACGAGGGGAACGGAACAGTTTTTCCATTAGTCAACCGGTTAGCGAATGATAATGGCGATTTCCATGGGAGGACTCGCAATCAGCTTCGAACGTTGCATCGCATTACGCGGTATTACTAACTGGGGAATCGTCTAATCCAAAGTTGGCCGGCCGGATAGCGGAATTAGTTAATATGTAAAGCAGCCACCGTAGGAAATTCCAGAAATTCCGTGTCGTTGGGATTCGAGCTGTTCGTTTTAACCGGTCTCCGTTTTTCCTCTGATTTTGTTTGCATTTTAACGTGATTCCTGGAAACGACTGGTACTCGTTAAAAAATGAAACCCTGTTACACTATGCAAACGTTACATGCGAGTATTTAACTATACATTTACACGGCAAACTTGCTAAATGTATTTTATTTTTTCGTCGTACGTGAACATTTTCAAAAATGATTTCAAGGCATAGGTTGAAGCCTCGATGTAGAAATGACGCCATTGTGGCGTCGTCCAAGCTTTGCGAATATAAATTACTCCTCAAGGCAAGAAGAAGTCGAAAAGTTTGGTGACGTAGAACAGGATCGAAGCAATGGTGGTTCGATACGGTGATCCTCTATTCCCATTTGAATTTTATTCGACATTCAGGAAACCGTTGACAAATTCCATTCCGCTAAGTGGAGGCGCGACTGACGTGTCTGGTTTCGTTCGTTTCCAAGACTCTGTTCTATTCAGGAGAGTAGCTTGACGACGTGGTGAGACATGCCGAAAGTTTCCCTCCTCCTACGCATCCTTCTCCACCTCTAACTTTCTTTGTGCGTAACCATCTCTACCGTAGTCCGTTTTCACCCCCCTCGTTTCACCCCGTCTTTCGATAGGGAAGCTGCTGAGTGGAGCATCCCTTTTCTGGCCCCTTCACTCCCCATCGCATCTCTATCTCATTTTATCTTTTTTCACCGGTCCCCTTTACTCTCGTTACACTTCAACCCTCGTGCAACCCCAAAACGTTACGCTTAGTTTGATTCAGCACGTGGTACCAGCCACTTGGCCCCTTTCACCCCTCTCTTCGCCCTGTGTACTCTGCCCTACCACCCTTCGTTTCGACACCCTTTCGCGAACACTTTTCACGTTCGCCTGCGTGAATTCGAGCGCTAATTGCGTAGACGAGCCGCGATCCAGGGAATTTTCGCGCCCCGTTTTCGACCGAGCTTTTTTTTCGAAGCGGATCAATTTCGATGGGTGCTTTCGTCGCTGGAAACGTGTCACCGCTCTTTGTTCACTTTAACTACTGCTATTTGAAACTGACATTACATGAATCTTTCGAATTAATTTTAAAATACAATAGAGTTGTAACATTTAAATGTTTGAGAGGGTATTATCGCAGTAAATAGAACATTCGAAAATCATGTAACGTTATTTAATTCGCCATGCAGATGAATCTGTGCGAAAATTTTAAGAACTCTTTAATGGCTAACTGGATTTCATAAAAGATGTATCCCAGATTTCAACCGTGAATAATTTTCCGTAGGTGTTCCATGGTAACAACGTAACCCAGTTAACGAGAACGAAGGAGACCGGTTTTCAACGTGCAAGAAAGTGGAAAACATTAATATGGAAATTGCGTGAGTTGCGACGAAGTTTTTTCTTTGTGCGAGAAAATCATTTTTCAAGTGAGTATTATTTTTTTATAATTAAATGCTCGGCTACGTACCGGATTAAAGGCTTTGTTCTTTGTGAGATAATCACTTTGAAAAGGTACGTGGCCGCTTCCAGTTATCTGCAGGCTTCTGGCAACGGTTCTTCCGGGAACAGAAATTTTAATTAGTAGGTAGACGTCTTTACATCCAAGCAACCGGGCGGACTATTAATTTCCCTCTCGCCCTCCCTTCAAACCCCATAGTCGTTTAACCTTTCGTTCTCGACAAACAACCTGTCTTTCCTTCGATCTCGTTCTCGCCAACCTTCACTGTCCAATGCGCTAATTGTTTCATTATTTTTTAACATTCAAAGACATAAGTTTTTTATTCGTATCCCCTGTAAATCACAAACAATTCACCTTCGGATCGAAGTTTCCTATTAACTCTTTTCTTCAAAATTGAGGTGAACAATATTTTACGAATCATTTTCCATTTTCCCATTTTATCGTCCCCTTTCTTCGTCCCCTTGCTCTAAGAAAGATCGATCCGAATATTCTATAGAATCCTCTATATCCGTCGACGGTAAACTACTTTCGACTCTTTTTGCCCTGCTGAAAGAAGAAACTGCCTTTCTAAGGAGCCGGAGCAGTCCGGGATGCCGCATTCAAACCGTCGAATATATACTGCCGGCTCTTTGAACATCGGGAAAACTAACGAGAGGGCATTCCAGGACTCGGCTTTAAGGAAGTTTATTTTCTTAATTCGAGACCCGCGCCTGTACATCAGTGCGGCGCGTTGCGGCGCACCGCGTCGAGTCGCGAGCCACCATTCAAAAGCTTCATTAGGGGAAGTCGCGGATTCTAGAGGCCATTCACTGAATCGCGAGCTGAACTCGCGTGACCTTACGCTATTCTGCGCCCACCCCGAGTATCGGTGTCCTTTTTACGATCTCCTTTAACAAGCTGCCTCTTGACCGCGCTCGGTACTCTCGTTACAGTTATACAATTTTCATTTCAATAACGAAGCCGGTAGATAAAGTTGAGCTTACGAACTTTTCCAGAAAATCTACAATATTTTGAAAGACGATTTGTCAGCGCGTTCGAAACAGCGATATAACAAACGTGCGGTTAATTGAACGTTCACCTTATCGAACCACCCCATGCTTAATGTTAATGAGACAGTGTGATTGGTCGAGTGTGCGAACGCACGCGTACATAGAGGGAAGAGAGTACAGGGAGAGACGTAACTAGCCGAAGGCTGTTAACCTCCTCATTTGCAACGCTTTGATCCAACCCTACTTTCCAACGATGGCTTGGATGCAACGTATTCCCCCTGTTCCGTGTCTGGTAACCGATTCCGAACAGATCGATCGATCCTCGAAATGCATCCCTGTTTCACGGTGACCGATGTCACCGGCTGAGGTGGACCGCAACGCGATATAAAACGGTACGGTCAAACTGGATTGATTTGCATAAATAATTGCGCACATATCATCAAGACACGGGCGAAACTGGTTAATTAGTACGCCGTTACGCGGGAATATAGCTACGTCAAGGGGATTACCGGCGACGTATACGTATACCGTTGGCTTTACATCGATCCACCCTGAACGGATCAGCTTCTCTGAGAATGGAAATGGAATTATCGTCTAATCGAACGGGCTTATTCGTACGATTATATATCCTATCATCTTTCCTGGTGCAATTATTTATTTACAAAATATTGCTATCAAAAATGATTTAAAGTAACTCGAAACAATGAAAGATAAATTGAAAATAGAATTAACCTATGCTAAAGAGAAATTCAATAGGATGGTTTCGAGTTCATTACACTAACGACCCATCATTGTATTCCCATCGATCCTTAAGCGTTTCCGCGATAATCGTTTGCCAAACCGGAAACGGAAAATCATCGCGACCTTCGAGCTGGCGTCGATGAATAAAGAAGGCCAGACACGCTTCATTAAGAGAAGCGTATTTCACGAACAAAGTCCGGCAACCTCCGTCAGGGAGCAAGTGACAATGCGAGCTTTGAACGGAAGTCACAAATCACCCCGTCGGAATAGCGAGCGGCCCGATTCATTTTAACGACCGTTAACCGGAGGAATGGAGAACGCGATGTTACACTTGGCGATCGTTAAAACTTAACGAAATCCTCCGCCTCTTCGCGGTGCTACGTGTAACCCTTTATTGGAGAATGGGCCAGTATGCTAACAGCTGGAAAAATTCGGGTCAGATTAATATAGAGGAGACGTTGCAATTGCGTCCTCGTTTGATTCGACTAGATGCAATGATCATGCTCTCTTGTTAAAGAATGGAAAATAGATTAGCACTTTAATAATTATAATGAAGACAGAAAAGGGCTTAAAATAGAACAAGAAAAATATTGTCGTTTTAATGAAAACAATTTCAGTCAGGTGATTTTCCTTTTAAAAGTTAGCCAACTCGAAGAAGTTGATTCTGCTGTTACAGCCAGGTCATAAAAGATACAAATGAAGTCTCAAGGTTCATTTACAACGAAAAACTACGCAACTCGCCTGTATTCGACGGGGAACGTTTCATTTGAGGGTCGGGTTGCCACCTAGAACCCCCAATAAATCCTGTAATCCGGCGTGTCACGTTAGGAATACGAATTTCTCGTGGCGTCGCGACGCTACGCGCTACACGAACCGTACCACCAAGAAAGATTGCATTTTTTTCATATTAGAGAGGCAGCGGGGTGAAGGCTTGACGGAATCCCAACCTTACACGTAACGTAACGCAGACAAATTACTCGATTCAACCCCTATGGCGCGCACGTGTACAGACCGTTCTATAATTGGCTATACGTGTGTGAGATGGGGTGATTCCTCGACGGAGGAATAAAGCGAGCAACGTTTACCTTATTTATGAGGCCATTTTTGGGATTGCTCGTTTAAAGCTGCGGTACATGATTTCCAGCACGCGTTCGGGTATCGAGTAACCGAAGGAAAATGTTTTGAAACATTGCGAGGGACTCATTTAATATAAAGAATAATACTGTTTCGGCGCGACAGTCGATCTGTTAATAAAGAAGAAAGTAAGAAATTGCAAAGCAGACCGTGAAACGCAACTCTCCATTTTTCTGCTGCCATTTAAATGCAGTCTGTAACAAAACAGTGTTCGCTCCATATTTAAATGTCTCTTAGTATACCAGCAAAGTCCATTCGCGATGTCTCTGGGATCTCTCGCGTCTACTTGCGGTTCAAGCAAATAGACAAACGAGATAAGGGACACCGAAGCATCGTTCTTCGAGTCGCCCGAAATTTCTCGCCGCATCCGGAAGCACTCCCGCTTGCATTCCACAATGCTAGAACGACCGCAGCAACACCAGTGGATAGGAATATAAATAATGGAGCAGCAGGCGACGTTCAGGTTTATTTCCCCGTCAGGGATCACCATCCTTTCCCTACCCACCCGCCAATTATGAAACACCCCATACGTGTGCATACACGCGAACGCATCGTTGCCTTACCCTCCCGCCATGTTTCTTCCTTCCCGCGACGTGTAATACACTTTTATGTCGCGTGCAAGAGGGGTCGCAACCCCCTTATTCCCCATGCGATTCCACCGATTTGATACGCTTCAACCTTTGCAATCGTTTGAGTCGTAACTTCTTCTGGCCCTTGCCAGATTTCCTCCCTCTATCTACTAGTCAGAAATCTCTTCGCACGGGAAAGAAAATTTCTCGTTTCACCCTTACGCGATAGACAACATTCATGATTTCACGGAGGAATTTATTTACGAGTTTTTGGTGTAATTTTTCAATTCGAGCTTAATTCGAAATATTAATAGCAAGTTTAAAAAGAAAATCATCTCGCCAAGTGATGTTAAGTCGTGAATCCTAATAAATAAAGTTGCTCATTAACATGACTTTTAGCCTACTCGAGTAAAATCCAGAATTTAACGCGGCAGAAGGTACAACCGTAGGGTGCTGTCGCGATGACCCAATTACCGCACTCGTAAAGTGCAACGGGGCGGCACGTGAGCCACATGAAAGCGGTGAACAACCGGAAACTTTGTTAGTCTCGCAGTCTTTCGACACGTTAAGAGGCTGCGCACGAGCCACGATACCCGGGCTGGGCCGACTTTCGTAATTAGTTAAGCCGCCTCTTAACGCACCGACGAAGCCCCGAGATATTTCCTCGCGAAAACAATTATTTCCGCGTGGCAGTCGATTCGCGAATCCCCGGCAACCGTTTGCCAACGACTGAGAAAAGAAGAACAAACCACGTTTAACAGCAATCGGCGGGCTCCGATGAACGAAAATACCGTACGCGCACGTGTACCAACGAAAATTTAATTAAATCCAACGGTAAGGTTTCGGCGTTTCGGTATTCGAATCCGATCCGTTTAATCCGATCGAGCAAGCAAATCGGTTACCTAAGTAATTTCATCGATATGGAGCAACGAAACGGACGTTTAACCGAGCTCGATAAATTTTCAGCTTCGCTTTCTCCTTCTCCTTTACACTTTATCTCCCCTCTTTCGTTGGATGTCGAATTTTTGGTGAAATTAGGTGTTGTAGGGTGATACTTATTATCAAATGGATATAGAGAGATGAAAAAGGAATGAAAATCTACTTTCCACAAAATTACAGTTATCGTAGTAACATGGCCATTTTCAATTCCGTTCGATCGACTGGCCAAGGGATACGAAACTTCCGGAAAGAGGGTTTCCAAACTGAGCGCACGTGGATACGCGTCGTGCAGTTCGCACAGGATATCGGAGCAACCCTGCTCCGTTTTCCCAAATTACGCCAATAACCTGTCCGATATAATGTCTGACTTCGTCGAATTAATTAGCCAGAGCAACAACGCCTGGGAACGGTAACTCGACCAGGGAGGTGCATAGAATCGCGATCGAATTAGCAACGCCGATACCCGTTCGCTCGTTGAATAATGCACGAGTTGACATTCCGTTCAATAACAAACGTCCGTTATTCCATCGTTACTCCCGTCGAGTTTGCTTATTTTAACCAAAAGTGCCTTTTTCATGTTCCGAATCCCGTGAGAGAGAACCAGCACGTGCGCCATTCGCGTCTTGCATAATCGAATTGAAATCGACAGATCGCAGACACCCCCGGTGACAAAGGGGTTGCAACGAGCACGCCCTCTTGACACAATGTCCTGGATTACTCGGGGAAATTTATGTTTTCCCGTGACACAACTCTCAGTGTGGCTGGGACGATAAGTTTCTTAAACGCGTGCCATTTACCGGCTTATCATATTTGTACCAATCCCAGAACTAAGCCTGACAAACGAGACAACACAGGCTTCTCGTTTCTATTCCGGGCATCGTTTTATTATTACGAATGTATACGCAACAAATTTTCGTACGAACACGTGTCTATTAATTAATTAATTAAATGAAGCATGGCAACTGTAGGTCAAAGGTTAATCAATCAGTAATTTGACGGAAGAAACACTTCCAGTGGAGCAAACGGCAACCCTATGTATGTTTCGCGGACGATGCAATATTAATAACTACGCTGCACGCGTCGGTTCGTTTGGTAAATTATAGATACACTGCCGTAACACGGGCATCATCGAAATTTTCGCTGCAATGGGAACCGGTAATAAAATAGATTGACATTATGTAACCCCGTAATGAACCGACGCGTTGTTAATTACAGCCTGACGCGAGCTGGACCTCGCTAATATTCGTCCAACCTGACACGCAACGATTTCATTTTCGTTCATTCACTATTCACGATTCGCGTTCCGTCCAATGAAAGATTATCTTTGCTTCTGTTCAATTTCAAAATTTCCTTAATTTTTCTACATATCTTAGAAATTATAATTATACTCTCGCATATCTATAAAGCAAGCATCGTTGTGTCTGTTGGAATACAGTTTGATACTTTGATGCATTTTATCAAGCTGGCTGAAAAATCGCCATTTTTTAATATCCTCCTCAAGTCGCTTATGAAGCGGAGCGAACATAGTTGCGATTGAAACCGTAAATCCTCTTCTTTGTGTCTACACCGGCGAACGACGTTGGCTGATGACGGCTAACAAATACTTGGACAGTAAAGGTTCTCCACGGGAGCTACGAACCTCGAAATTAGCTACTTTCAACCATCTTCCAGCCGAGACGAATGGCGTACTATAGCGAGCTAGACAGCCGGACTAATACCGTACGCTTTACCGTCCTTGTGATACCCGTCCTAATGGAAACCTAGGACACCCGGAATCCTGGCTTCGTCTAATTTATTTGTCGATGGTCCGGTGACTCCACGGTTGGACAAGTGTTCGTTTAAACTGCCAGAATTGCTTGCAGGAAAACGTGGAAGAAAGTTGTTCGTCGCGTTCGTCGAGATTCTTCGAAAAGAGTAGAAGAAAAATGAAAATTAAGACTTTCGAGGAACTTTCAAAGATCCAGGAAAGTCTCCGATAGACTTTTACGAAAAAATCGTGGATTTATCTGGGACGTGGTTGAATCATACCCTCGAGGAAGTTGATACGTCAATCATTTCGTTTCGCAACGTCAGTTACCCTTCGTTTTCTACGTCAGTCCTGACAGTGGCTGATTTATTCCTCGTAACCGGCAGATGTCCTCGATTCCCTTAACGCGGTCAGCTGTGATACCGGGTCCTCCTCCTCTGGTGGTCAGACGATGACGCCGTTGGATCATTCGCGGCCAACGTGATTGATAAGGGGTACTGGCTGATAAACACGAGCGTTAAGCGTGCACCAGCGGCCGCGATAAATCAAGAAATGTTTTCGAGAGGCGCGGCTAACGCCGTGGATATCGGTGTTTTCGCTTGTTCCTGTTTTCTACAAGGTTTTATTGGCCGAACTACGTGGCGCGGTGCTTTCCGACGTATCTGCTGAAAAATGGGGGTGTTTGTCGTGTAATATCGTTGAATTGCACGGTCGGAGCTTTTTTGCTTTCAAAGCCGCTCTTTCGAAGTTTAATACCCTTCGAATTGCTTTCATTACTGTTGGAAATCATTTTTGAAGAATTATAAATATTCAGCGGTGATAGATTAATAACCTAAGAAGTTTAAAATTTAGGAAGAGAAAATGAAATAGAATTAAACATTTTTGAAACGTTTCATTTCTTTGTTCATTTTCGTTCGTTCTTCCAGTCAATATCGTCGATTTGATTCGCTTCGATCATTCCGTTGTACTCGAAGCGTGACACACGTTTGGCATGGCAGGTGACGGGCCAATTGTTTCGTCGGTGAAGGGTTTTTCCAGAGGAAAAAAAGGTCGCCGGTGTTTTCATTAAATTGTCGCCTGTTTCGGCTCGACAAAAATTGAACTCTTCGGCCAGCTGTTCGGCCCGTGTAACACGCGCGAAACAATACGCGTTAATCGAACGGCTAATAAAAAAGTGTGCCACGAGCAAAATCGTTTTCATTTCATGCGCTAATAAAATTCTTGCTTATATTTTATGTGTTAACGTATCGAATTATCGTCTACCGAAAATTCAATCGATATCGTTTCGTTAATAAATATTCCAATATTCTAAACAAAGATAGTAATAAAAAATAACTCAAAAATTCTTTGATACTTCCTAGGATGAAATCAAGATCCCTACGACGCCTTTAATTCAAATTAATGTAAATCTCAATGAGATACATCGAATTTACTTGGAGGGCAATTTTCAGGAGGGTTTCGGGGCTTTAATCTTTCTTAATGGAACAAGGGGTTTCTAGCCAATAAAGGCAACCGAATCGACGTACCATTTTTACAGTGACTCATTTCTCATTTACGCTCCATTGCATGTTTCTTCCTTCACAACTATAGTCACTATTGATAAGAAAGGGTTAATGAGAAAAAGAAAATACTATGACAGAAAAATAATAAGGTATTGTAATAGAGTGTACGAGTGTGCGTTAATACACCCCTACATCTATAACAAAAACTTCTTTCCCATAAGACAAAAGATCGTAACGTCTTCGTTATCTCTTTCACTGTACCACCGGAAACGGTAACTCAAACGAGCTGCAACCTCGACAGCATAAGCAACGTGCATGTCTGTTAGAACAGGAACTTTCGCATGGACAAAGAACAACATGCATACGCGCGCGTATCGAGACTATTTGCGTCTAGAAGCAATGTTTTTTCCTTTTCTTTTTTTCCTGTTCCGTATGGGCGTCGATAAACGGAACGGGAGTACAGGAAGCTGGCTGGATCGAAAGCAAGCCCCCTCCAGGCATGTAGTTAATCCGGGATAAAGGTGGTACATAGCTACGCCAGAAGCACGATACGCTGGTTGAAGATGCATCCAATGCATAGCGCGTATCCCACGGATTTATCGACTTACACGCTAACGGAGAATCCATCTCGTTCGTCCGATCAGACGCGGTTCTATGGCCGAACGGATCAGGCGTCGAAGAAACGACAGACAGGTCGCATCGGATGCACCTGCATTATATTAATTAAACGCACTGTCCCGTTTGTATTTGCAAAGACTGGGATGTTTTATTCTTTTGTCTGGCAGTCCATTATGATTATTAAAAATAAAGGTGGTTTTAATTAATAGTAAGTGGCTCGATATTAAAAATAAAAAAATCATAGAGTGAGGGAGGAGTTAGCAAATGGAAAAATTTGGGTGTCGCGAGTCCTAGAGCCTAAGTACCGTGCGTATCTACCTGTATAGGGGACCATGGTATGAGAAACGAGTTGACGGAACGAAAAGTTTCTAAATCCCTCTATATGTCGACCATCATTAATAACATAAAAGGTATAGTACAACGGTATTACAGTCAAAGTATAGTTTCATTCCTATGTGATCTGTAATGGACTGTAGGAGTCTTTGATAATGATGTTTATTGAATCATGAATGCGTTACTTTATTAAATGAGGGCTTTTGTTCAGAGACAATGCATAATGAGGAAAACGTAGGCACCGGGTAATGTACTTAGTTAATTGAAATTGTTGAGCTCGTTACAGGCTAATTGAACAAGAGTAAAATATCTGTTACTAAATGTAACGAATGATAAAATTTGCAAACGAGCTTCCTTAAAAAATTTATATTATTCTTCACCAGTATACAAACTTAATATAGAAAGGAAATAGAGTGTAAAACTTGAAAATCTATTGTATAATGTCAATAAATTCGATGGAAGATAACGTGCATCCTTCCAGCTATTTATTACTGAATTCTCACAATGGTTACATCCGATCGTGACCGCAACGTTGAGAGTGATACGTAAAAAGGGCTACATTTTCGTGAATAAGAAAAAAGAAGCAAGGACGAATGTGTAGTAGCGAAGATTTGTGGCCCAGTCAACGATATTTATTACTGGCCCGTGGGTCATCTGTAAACATTAAATAACCAGCTGCATCGCGTGCAGCATACTATTCTATTGCACTCCTTGGATGGTTCACGCGTGAACTTCAATTTCCTTTAAGCAACAGAACGACTGAGAATTTGTCAGAATGAAATATCTAAATCCCAGTGTATATTAAAATATCTTCTTAGAACTAATGCGCCATTAGTTTTTCGATACTATGCATCTAACTTCTTCACGTTTTACAAATGGCAACTTTGTCTTTCATTTTCTTCAGGTCGAAAAATAAAAAATTTAAAATTCATTGTTTTGACAGGTTTGATTGTTTCAGTATTACTTATATTTTTGGATAATAGTCGATGTACTCGTGTTTTACTTGAAAAACATAATTAATCTGTCCAAGATTCGATCACCTAAAATCATTAATATATCATCTCCACTTCTTTAAATATTTTATTATTCTCTTCTCATTTAGGAAGATTGGACGGGACAGGGCAAATTATTTAAAATGAATAATTATTTGATAATTTTAGTAATCTGTTGTTTGGAAGAATTAACACCAGGATTTCGTAAATGCCAGTACATATATACTTTATTACATATACATGTTCTTCACTGGATCTTAACAATACGGTTGCTTATAATATCAATAAATGTTTGCATCTGACGTCACGATGGAAATATCAACGTCATTTTAACAATCACTATAACACTCCATACTAAAAACTTCAGAATAATTAACATCGTTCAATACTCCCATATAACACTTATTAAGAAAATTATTTTTCATACCGGTAAAATGTACAACGCGTTCGCAATCTTTGATCGTAATATTTCCATCATTACAAGTATTGATCTTACAGTGAAATGCATTTGTTATTCATCAGAACAGTATCTTGGCTTAAACCAATGCTCAATACACATGCAATTTCCAGTAACCATTGTACTCTATATTCTTTTGTACACTACGTATTCTTCGCGAAATATAAATATAGGCATATATGTGTACATATAGATGTGTATGTGATTAAATTATTGCTATTGTTCCTAAAGGATGCACTATCATGGCACGGTGATACTCGATGTGACAACAATCGGAATAGTTAACACGTTGAATGTCTGGGGGTCACTAGTAACCCCAGAGTAACTTAATTATACACAAATTTTTTAAAATTTTAACAATAGGTAGCATTAACTTTAGCCCTATAAACACTAAGGGATTTCGTCGAGTCCATCAATTAAAAAATATTAAAAATATTTTTTCCAATCTAGAAAATTTGCAATGAAATTACAATTAATTTTCAATGGGACATTTAACGTGTTAACAGCAGTAGAAGGAAAAACTACCGGGGTTGATAATTAATTACCGATTGATACGTTTACAGACATGATGTACCAATACTGTATAAATACCTGAGCATAATATCGTGTTTTCTCCTAAGAAAAAGAAGAAAAAGAAGAAAAAGCATCATGCAGCAAACTGACTCATCGTGCGTAGACCTCTAGACGACAGATAACGTGAACAACGATAACCTTTAACGAGGCACAATTAATCGTATTAAAAATTCATTATACATCGTATGCGCGATATCTGTCAGCCGAGAAAAATGAAATAACGAGACAACGATTTATCGAAACCGTTCGCGATACCCTGCCAATCCTTCATCCTGTTGATTGACCACAATCGATGAGTCGTTGACTCGTTTGGTAAATTTCATGACAAATTGATCGCGATTGTCGAGGATCTCCAACGTTAAGCTCGTTTCGTTTCTTACTTTTAGCTTTCTGAATTTGAAAACTTCTGATATCCATTACTGCTTTTTTATTTTATTTCTCTACAACGAAACGCGTGTATTTTCTCTCTAAGAAGGCGAATCCTGGATCTCTTGCTTCACCTCTGATTTCCCTATGTTCTCCGCTTCCCATACAGTGTCCGGGAGTTTGGTTCCCAGCGTTTCCGGGAAGAATAGAGACAGCAGACCCGCCGACAATGCCATGCAGCCGAAAAGAATGAGCGGTAACTCTGGCATAATTTGTGCCTGTGAAAATTGAAATTTATGAAAACATTTACGTAGCCATTAGGCTATCTCTACGATTCGCATCGTTCCGGTGTATGACTCACCAGAAGGGGAGTTTGGGGTGACAATATTGACCCCATGCGGCCAGTCATGCTGCAGATACCGAGCAGCGAGTGTCTCAGATTCGTGGGGAACAGCTCAGCCGTGTAAATGTAAACGGTGGAAAATGACATCGTGATGCACCATTTCCCTCCCATGTACAAAATCAGTGGCAAGAAACTCAACGAATCTGAAAGAAACACCTTGTATATCAGCCTCTACTTTGATTATTTCGAATGAAAATTAGTTTGTCATTAAATCAGTTTACCTGCAGGTACGAACTGTATCGCGAGGCAGAATGCACCGCTTAGTAAGAAAGACGAGGAGAGGGTCGCCTTACGACCGATGTAATCGGTTAAAAACCAGGTCAGAAAGTAAGCTGGTATCTCCACAAGGGCGACCAGTATGAAATTGGTGTATTTATCGCCGGCAAAGGCCACGGAATTCAGCGATAATCCATAATAGACGAAGGTGTTCGTCAGCCAGCAAAACGAGCAGGCCATTAAACGTGTAAGCATCACCGAGCTATTCAAAACTTGCATGAACGGTGTTTTATTATCGTTTGCATGTTCCGTCTGTAAGATAGCAAGATTATAGATTATCCGAAAAATCCTCTTCATTTTGATGGTACAGTCAAGTCATTATTTCATACCTTCTCGGCCTTCACCATATTCATATCCTTGAACGCTCCAATCGCCTCTTCCGAGATTTGCAGCCCGTTAATACGCGCCATTTTACGATATATGCTCTCCACCTTCTCGTGTTTCCCTTTCGCCAATAGCCACCTTGAAAATTGGCATCATGTGTTTTGTTTTGTTTACGCGTACGAGATATTTTCGAGGGGAAACGAGTGTATAGGAACACGCATTTATCGATTACCTATGGCGTACATAGAAAAGCAACATAAGAAAAATATCTTATTGAAAGATTGAGCCGTAAAATATTTAAAGGCAGCACGGTATAGAGTACGCGTGCCGCGGCTCGTACAGACCGTTCACGATCGCGTTAATTAATTAGGGAGTAACGGGTCCAATTAAGGGTGCTGTGACGTCAAAGGTCCAGTTAATTGGCCGGATGTCGTGGAGGCATAACTGGACGACGACTTCTTAGATCGTTAAGGGGATCATTAACGAGGATCCCCTCTGGGACAATACGAATTAAACAGTCACCAAAGGAAATTACCTGACTGATTCCGGGATCAGGAACGGCAGGAAAATGGCGAGCAAAGCCGGACCGTATACCATCCGGAGGATCAACCGCCACGATCTCAACCACATTGCGATCAATCCCAACAGCATCTCACCCACTGCAAACATGCAGCAAATGATCGTGCTCGCTAGAACTCTGCCTTTCACTCCTGCCATCTCCATTCCTGAAAATTAACCTATTTATTGGTACATATTCGCTCACATATAACAATTCTTCATCATTAAATGTGCATGCAAATTGTACGGGGTTTGATTTTAGAAAAGTATTCAAATTACATACATACTCATGTTCATATTTGAGAAGATGAAAGTCATAATGGAGAAAGTCATATTTTTTAGAATATTAATATACATGTCTGCTCATTGAGAGAAATTATATTCCAACAAATAGCAGAGCTAGTAGAATATGTAAGTAGAGCATGTTCTATTGATAATGACAATGGTGCAAGTCAGACTTATACCATTATAATTGCAATTGTTACTAGTGTTTTAACAGTTCTTGAAATTGTGGTCATTTAACTATCAATGTTCGTGTAAATATATGTCCCTCCCCCAAATTTTAATCCTACAAGTCTCGAGATATTAAGTCTAAAGATTATTGTGTCTCAGAATCACAAAAATTTCATTGCCTATTTGTTTAGAAATTTTTTAATATCCAATTTCCTGTATTATATAACTTTGTTTCCAATGTCTTAAAAAAAAATGATTACTCATACAATATGATAATTGTGATAATCTATGTACCAATAAGCGTCTAAAGTGGAACAATTTATCTGCTACATTTATACATTCTAAGGCAAGGTATTAGCAATTTAGATGAAAATTATTGTGCAAAAATTCTGTTCAAGGCTTGCTACGGTTACGGGCGCGCCTCTTTTTTTCGATATCGAAAACATTTCTGCCTGGAAGCGTGTAAAACATGACCGTTATTTATATGAACATTATTCACGTGAAACATCTTCCCATACTTTGCCTCGTTATTAACTCACCTAAAATAAATCCAGCGCTGTAGATACCGGCCGCGACAGTCGCGTCGATAAATTCGAACGCTAGAAACATCCAATAATTCACGGAAAAAGAATGTATCAGGCCGCTGATTCCGCTCAGGGACGTGATGAGTGTCAAAACTGTGCGTCTTCCGTATCTGCAAATAACAAAAAGAATAAGCCAGTTGCACAGGCACTATTTACCACTTTGAATGCCATTGTTAAAACATCTGTGTTCAACCATTCGAATAAGGCGAATATTTCAAATTGTACCGGATATTCAAATATATAATTTTTGAAAGGTAAAACGAATTCAATGCTACGAGTTTGCATTGAACGTTTCAATATGCCGCATTCGTCGTAAGAAACCGTTTCAATGCGAAGATGAATCGCGAAACGTCTAGCAAGTTCAAATCGTTCGTCGTAAATCTCTCAAAGTTTGCCCAAAGTACGAATTCATTTAAATATAATCTCCCACTTCTTGAACGATCGTTCCCCGAATTCGAATCAGAATTCATGAACTAGCTACGGGTAAGTCTGTTTGAAAGCCACTAACTGGAATACTAGAGATCTGCTGGCTCTCTAGTGTACCACCAATCTACGTGGTATTTTAGACACTTCCAATAAAATTGTTAGAAAGAAAAATTAATTCTCACTGAACAGATTTCATGATAATATTGAAATTTGTCAGAAAACATTGTCTTTGATAAAATATCAGAATCACTGATTCACAGAAATAGAAAATCTCTTAATTTTATTGTTATAAAATCAATTACTTCCGTGTACTCTATTTAAAACCAACATTTGAGTCTTTCTACTTATCACCTATCCTATCAAGATCTAAACACTTTGACCGCGTTTTACGAGACTCTCGAAACCAACGACCTGTTGATTTCGATCTCTACCCTCCATGGTTATACAAAAAAAAAAAGAACTTTCGAAAGTGACTTTTCCCTCTGGTCGTTTCATCGATTTCGATTCGTACCAAGAATCTCATTTCCTGGATTCTCGTATCGAAGCAGAAGTAATTAGGACTCCGATGTTGATTATTTCTCACCTGTCCGATATGTATCCAGCGAAGATCAATCCAACGAATTGGCCAACGTTATTTATCGTACCCACCAACGTGAGTTTCCATCGATTGATGTCACAGGTGAGGTCCCACTGTGTCGGAAAATAAAAGAAACTTTAGCGATCGTTGATCGATTTTGAATAATGGCAACCAGTGGCAATGATTTTACCTCGCTGAGCACCGTGTTCTCCGACGGATCGTAGACCCAGGAATCGCAATTGAGAGTCTCATTGCTGAACGACTGACTCGTACAAGTATCAGTATGATTTCGAACGACGTAACGAACGCACTTGGACATTTCTGACAGTTCTGGAACAGAATCCGCTGCCCATGGCACATTGTACTTCGTGTTGTTTGGGGCTTCGCATTCTGGCACCAAACACCTGTTTTTCCCAATGTTTTATTAAGAAATTTGAAAATTTATTTAGTAGATCTATTTAGTGGATTTATTTATTATGTGGCTCTAAAAATATAGTATTTGTAATAATTAACAATAGTATTTAATTATTACTCTTCCTAACGATAGTACTTAAAAAATTACCGAAAATAAAATGAAATTTTCCAATATATTCTCTTCATACCATGCGAATGAACAAAATATACAGATTGAAAAATTAAATGTGTTTTGAACAAAGAATCTTTTTATTTAGCACGGGTGAATTTCAGAATGAACGATGAGTAATCTCTGCTTGTACGTTTGTTCAAAATAATGGATAGGTACGTTAAAAGATGTAATTGTTTGAATCATTAGGGAAGTAGTAAATGGTTTGCCTCGTTCTTGGAACAGACGCGATTCTGAAAAAAGTCTGCAAAAACTGTTTACATATTTTACACTTTGCATGAAATTTGTTCGTAAGAACAATTATCACGTTATTAACGAGAGAATAAATCAGAACCCCGCGTGTATTTCACGCACTGTGCTACTATGGAAAGGTTAATAGACTTCTCAATAAAGTACTTAATCGATTTATCGTCCCGACAGTGTTACACAATTCAATGATCAATCAATTTGTTCCAGCTCGTACACTAGGATCTTCTTCTACGAGTTGTGTTTCCAACACAAAATAAATGATCGCACGGTACAGTTAAATCTCAAAAGGCTGATATAAATTCAGGAAATTTTTATTTAATTTTCTATAACGGTATATCAACGTTTATTGATAATTTATGCTACGTTCATGGAACTTTGTCTCCATCGTGGATCGCATAACAGAGATAATGAAAATTATTCGAATCAGTGTACATACCTGTACTTAACTTCCCCAGCTGTGAACACGTAGGCAAGCGTGAATCCTGCTGACAAGAACAGAGGCAAGCTAATTATCGCGAACATAATCATTTGATAGTATCCGAAGCGATCCACTTCCTGCTCGCTGCCTCTCGTTCCTCCTGCGAAAACATTGATTTCCGGCTATCAAACATACTATTCTTCCGGTTAATTCCATTTGCATAGCACGATACACGTAACGAGCGGAAAAATCGACGATTAACCCTTTCAATGAGTATACAAGATGTTTTAAGAGTTAACCGAGCAATTTCCAGAAAAATAGAATTACAAACTAAATATTATACAAATAGGTAGGCGTCCTTTCTTAGGATAAGAATAGAGGGAAGAACTATCCATTATTTAATTTTGATTCTTTATGAAAATTTAAGAAAAGTCTAATGTGGACCTTTCTAAGAATTGATATGAATAATGAGTAGGTTCTTTCCTTTACATTTTCCCTTAATTCAGGAAAGTTTAGCGAAATTAATATAACGTTGAACCTTAATATGTTACCAAAATTTGGCCACCTAGTTCTCTGTCATTTTATACAATTATCATTAAAATAAAAATGTGGTATCAAGCTCGAGCGGACATTGCCGCGTTTCGTTTCGCCTCGTATATCGCTCTAATTGATTTAGCCTGAACCGTTAATGAATCGCGTCAGCAAACGAGTGGTCGTTCTTCTTCTTCGAGGAAACAGAAGAGAAGAAACAGCCACTCGGCAGCGAGGAAAAAACATTGAACGAAAGGAAAATTGTGCTATATGGCCTGCGCCCGTTTCTTTAGCCTCTTCGTCGCGAGTGTACGCCCGTCAGTCGATTAACTCTAGTTACCATTAATCAACGAGGAAATAGCGTGAAACTTTTGCAGTTCAGATTATTTTCGTCGTTACGTCCGATCATTTTTCCAAAAATAGATGATATTTAAAAAAACAAGAATTTTGATCTTAGGAGAAACCTAAGACACTCAGTGTTTATCAAATTAACACTTTGAAGACTAATGTAATATATTTGTAATTTCGATGCTTAATCCTTTATCTATCTTATATCAATTAGAATTGAAAAATTGAAAATTCGTTTGCCAAACAAAATTCTCAAGCATTCCATTAATAATCTCTAATTACAAGAAACATAATAGCGAATCAGACTCTACGCAGAATCACAAAGGGTTGATAACCAAATAATTAAACAACAAGAAATGAAAAATATTGAGTTAACATTATGATGATTATACAGTGACTCAACTCGGCACGTTGTAGTACACATATGGTAATTTTTATCATGGCAGCATGTTGACGCATGACTGCCTAATTATTTCTAATTATTAACAATAATTTTTTTTCCTTCTATTAAGAATTGGTGATGAACTTTTATTAAGCCAGTCCCTGGTGATCCTTACCAAATAACGCATCAAATGAAATGTCACATTTGAATTCAGGTAACTAATAGGAACTTGCTCTTACCTGTGCAGCCATCGGTGATCTTTGGCGCCGACGACGATTCGTCCTTCTGCGAGCAAAATAGCCTCATACTGTCCTCCTCGTCGCCTCTTAGGCTGCGAACACAGAGATTCGAGAATTATGCCGGTTCACGGGTGGCGTTTCCTTCGTTGACCCCACGTCGGAGGTCAGATTGGTAGCGTTCGATCGACGGCGAATGATCGCGAAAAACGCGCGAAACGACGCAATCCCTCGCGTGCATTACATAAAGTGAGATCAACAACGAGCTTTTACCAAACGAGTCGAAAGAGTAAAAAGAAAACCGGCAAGGAACGGGACTTTCACAACACTCTATCGCCTGACATCCGGCTAGCACCGTAGGTGGGAGAGAAACGATCTCGACTTGATATCAAGCGAATACGTGTAATTTGAAATGAAAAATTTCTTCGACTAACACGAAACTGCTTTCGACTTTCGTGATGGACCAACTGGAACTATGTAAATTGAATTGCCGGCTCCGGGTCCAACGATAAGATCGATAAAAAGTGAACCGACTGACCGCGTGGTCGCGCGAGCATTACGCGATCGCGTCCGCAGCAACCGCTCGCGGCGAATACCGATTTTCTACTGGCGCGGAGAGTGCGAACGAAATCGAAGCAAGAAGAGAAGCAACGCAACCGGTGGCGTTCGCCTCGTTTTAACCGTGCATACGTGAAAATTAACGCGTCATGCAAGCTCGCCGATTTCAGACCGGAAGTACCCTGCACACTTTGTCACTCGTTTACGTTCAGATCGAACTGGATTCCATTTCCATTAAGTTCACCGAACGATATCGATCGACGTTCCATAATTCGGTGATTGAATTTAGGAACTAGAAATTTGAAATATAAATTTCAAAAAAGTATTCTGAAAGTTGAAATAGTCTTTCGAATTTTATTCAAAGTTGAAAGTATAGTTGAAAAGTTGTAAGAGATAGTTTCGCGTATTCATTGGTAACGGATGCCTCGAGTTACATGGCCTTCCGTTCGGAATGCCATTGACTTTCTAATATGAAAGAGCGCGTCTGAAAGTGTTGAACGTCTTCAATGATCGGCATTTATATGCAGTCCGCGAGTATCGCCTTGACAATTCTTGAACGCAACGCCATGGCCGATTTAACGTTTCAAGAAGAAGAAGAATATGATGAATCGTTGTCGTTACCCTTCACTCTTGTCGTCGAATAAATATGGATAGAGAAGCGGACGATGCTGTAGAAAATTAGCACATTCGCGTTGTCATCGTAAATCATCAGTTTATTATTATTTATCGCCACGTTACCGCCTACAATTCGCTTGCCTTTTTTATTTCGTTGATCAAATGATTCAGGATAGGCGGATAGATAATAATATTATTGCAACTACTAATTCGTAAATTAATTATTTCACCATAATTTCATATTCTTCGAGATTTGAAAAATCTCGTCCAATTCAGATCTTAAAAATATCTTTGACCTTTAATCTTTCCAAATTCGGAAAGATGATTCTAGTCGATTTAAAAAATATTTCGCAACTGAACTGGAGCAAGATGTAATATATTTGAAGATTTCGACTCGATTTTCCCGACATTGTTTTTATTTAATTGATAATCACGTCGATGTTTCGTAATAATTTTTCGACGTCGGAGATACTCATGTCGATGCGTTGCGCCGGCTAATATTTCGTGACGATTTTTCACTGTTGCCTCCAAACACGAGAGATAAATTCAAAGATACGGTTCGTTGTTTGGCATTGTCGCGCGTAACGAATAACGGGCGGAAAGAGAACACGAGAAACGGAATGACCGTCGTTGAATTAGCCGAAGAGATATTGGTTCACGGCTGCACAGGTTTCGTCCTTCGCATGCAATTTCGCGGTTACTCCGTTCTCATTGACACGGTCGCGCGATTAACATACATTAACGTTTAAACGATCTGCCCGCCGGAGAATCCTAATTCTTCAATAAAGACGCCAGCGTGAAGCCGATATCGCGTTACCTTCGTTGAGACGCTGCGCGACGCTTCGACGTCCACCACTTGCCTCAGCTCTACCCCGATGAATTTAAGCGAAAGGAGTAATTACAACTTTGCAATATCGAACCTAATTCATATTTGACTTTACATCGTCAACAATTTACAAAGTTCACTTTGCAATCGAATTCTTTCCCTACTTACGAACTCCCTGAATCGGATTAATTCCTGATTAAACCAGGAAATCAAATTAATTCTCATACGAAAATTAGTTTTCGAAGAATATAAAATTCGTGGAAATTGAATTTCAACTTTTTAACGACCGTACATGAAATTATTCGTAGAATTCCATTAAACATACGCTACAAAATGGCCAATTGTAATTAGCATCTGTTATGAAATAATAATTGACATACCAAACGAATCCACGACACGGGTCGTTAAGTGTTGACAAACTATCGGAATTGTTCTCTTGTACTCGCGATTTAATTACCAATCGCTCGATTATTGATTAACAAAATTTTTTGATTTCTAATTAAAAAACAGGCGCGTACGTACCGTTTGTAAACAGTGCGAAGTACTGAAAGGATTAAAGCCGAGTTCGAAGCATATCTATAGAAATCGAAGTAGAAACAAATGTAACCAGCTGGCTACCTTAAAACACAGTTCAATTAAACAATCAATTTCAACGATGGACTTAAACACTCTTATCCGAACCCTATTGTTCTTAATTTGCCATGCAATTGGAGCGGAATGGATCCCGATCAAACGCGACACAATTTCCGTCCGGTATTCAAATGAAAAGAATAATAATTACCTTCAAACTTTCTATAACCGATTAATTAAATTTTTCGCGAAACAAATTCCAGGGGGTTAATCACGATCACGTTTTTGAATCAGAGTGTCACTGTTCACTTAACGCTCGATGTTCAATGAATACAAAACGGTTTCGAGATTTTCGACCGCGGCAATATCGAGAAAAATATTGTACAGAATCTACAGGAACGATGTTTCTCGTAGCTTGAATGAAATTGTACTCCCAGGATCACTATGCGTGTCGCTCGAATCGGCGCGGTATCGCGCGTGAAACAGGTGTCCGGCTACTTCGTGTCCTTTCACAAATCGCTTACGCCATCTTCGACGCCTGTTATTCGCGTGGAAACTTGTTAATTTCGCGACGATCGACACACCGTTATGGAAAATCGCGAATCTAAGCTGTGCGACCAGCGCGCAACTTCATCGTCGGTGACCACAAGTCGCCTTGTTGCTGCAGCAACTGTCTTTTGAAGGTAAACGTATACCACACACTGCCGGGTCTCCGATGACCACACGGGGGTGGGGGAAGTAAAATGGTCGAAGAAGGGGAAAAAGGATCGGTCCTTCTTAAGTTCTGCTCTTTACGACCGGATGACCACTCGGTCGTACCTACCGGTCGCGCCATCAACATTTCAGCACCATTTGCTACCTGCTTTCGATCGGAAATTCGTAGATCACTTTTGCAAATCTTGTATCGTTTTTGAAAGTCTTCCTATGAAAAATAATGATTCAGAGCCACTAATTTAATAAAACATCCTAATTTTGTAAAGGAAGAACGAGGAAGAACTTTGGCAAAGTTAAAAGTGGATTAAAGAGTGAAATTTTATTAAAACGTTGACCTTGCATGATATTAGAATCGAATGAATAATAAATGAGAACCGGGTATACTGTCTTGTCAGTCGTTCTCTGTTCAATCATCAAATAAAAAGAGATGGGGAAAAATACGATGTCCATAATTTATGACTGCAAAGCTCTTTGCGATTAACCGGGCGAACAGTTTAGCGACATTTTCCAGCGTTGAAATTTCATTGGCCCTGACGATCATGTTACGTAAAATATCGCCGTGGTATATTTCATGCTTTGCTGGATCAGCACGAATATTTACTAAAATTCTATCGTGTCGAGCGCAGCTTTTTGAACTGTTTAATGACCGATCGTATCAGAGAATTGCATAATTCTAGACGACGAATACTATGTGTGCTGTCGTTTCAGAAACTTGTGGTCAAAGCGTTAAATTGTATTTTTTACGCTAATTCGTTTTGTTTTCAGTTTCACCTCGAGAATTGCATTTTTAAAATGTTCAGGAAAATTCTCGTTAGAAAAACGTCACTTATAAATGACATACGTTACATAAAATTAATCGTTAATAAACCATTACATCGTAACGGTATTATAACATTGAAATTCTGTTAATTTTCCTTCGAACGTTCCATAAAGTCTTCGATGTGACGCAAGCCCATGTACGATGGCACTAGTTAAAAAAATTTTCCTGTTTTCTTCCAACTCGTAATCGTCTCGCTTGAAGATTATTAAAAATCACAGCATACCTCATGTGTTATTAAGCTATGTTAGGATTTATCATTTATTAAAAATTATAAAAATATTTCTATAAAATACTGAACTTCATACCACGAGACCATTATCGTGAAAATTTCGATTTGTTTTTCGAAAACATTTAAACAATGTTCCAATTTTAGGAGAGCCCCTGGCGAGTGATCTCCCGTCGAGCATCGTTTTGATTTCGTTGCCTCGTCGAGAGTGACGGTTCGATCGCGCGACGATCGTGGGCAGAAAATCTAGGCGCGCGATTTCCCGCCTCGAAACCCCGACAGATAACGCGACAGATAAGCGGGAACGGGTGAACGTTACTCAGCTCGCAGCCGCGCTAGCGAGCGTATTTTTGTCTTATTCAGTTCATCGAAAACAACTGAGGAAAAATCAAATAAAACTGGTTTACGCCGGTTTACACCGGACGCGACAGCTTGGTTACAACTATCGTACGTCGGTTTATTGTTACATCGATCGTTCTATATAACACGCTGCAATGAAAATCGGTTTCACGGTACACGAACACCAAATGAGAAAGAAAACCGATCCGAGCCGATCGGGTGACCTGTTTGTATCAATCTGGTTGGCCCGTATTTTTTTACGTTACATTTCATTACATACACGAGCAAAAAGAATGATAGGAAGTTTCAATGAAACGGAAAGAGGTTTGTCGCATTTTGTCGTCGAATTTGAATGAGGAGGTTCGAGTAAGATGACACACCTTGATATAAAGCGCGACGCACCTTATGCGTCCTATATTGTTTATTCCATGATGCACCTTGTGCGGTCTGAACTGTTTAACCCTTTCACTGCTGAGTAATCTAGGTTTAAACGTTCTATATGTACAAAATAAGAATTAGGTAAATAATACTTATCATTTTTTCCATTGCTTTATCGCATCATTATAATTTGATAACATATGATGTGTAATTAGTAATATGCGTTGATAACTTTTATTTGATTACGATTAAGATATACAAGAATCAAACTATGATATTCACGTGATACATATGTGCGTCCATAGTAGTCAAAGGGTTAAGATTTAATATAAAAGGTGACACACTTTGTGGGAGCCTATATTATCTGTATAACATAAACTACCATGCATCTTGTGCGTCCTATATTACCTACCCTATCTAAGCCCTGACGCATCTTGTGCGTCCTACATTACCTACCCTATGTAAGCTCTGACGCATCTTGTGCGTCCTACATTATCTACCCTATGAAATCTACGACGCACTATTTCATACAAAAGGCGATGCAACCTGTGTCCAATATTAAAAAAATTACAAAAAAGATAAGATCGTACAAAAGTAAAGTAAATATTAAATAGTCTAGAAATTATAATCCCAACGCCTGATGACTGTCGCATAACAAGACCCCTTGTCTCGAATGCAGTCTACGAGATTATGAATCACGAAGAGAATCAATCGATCTCAACTCCGTTCGATTTTCACAGCGGGAAAATTGAAATCACACTATGTTAACAATTAAAAAGAATAAATATACGGTATGCAAAAAATTCGCAGTTCGTTTCAGATTGATTCGCCTGTTTCTCGTTGGATTTCGCATCCGATGTTTACGACTTTCAATGTATTTACAATGCATCGATGTTTCAATTAGATAGGTGCAATCTATCGCTCCGATTGCGTGGCCGATATCGGTGCACAATTACATCTGCGTACTTTTATGCTACATTTTTATTTTTATTTTTTTTTTCGTAAACGTGTTGCTATAGGTTGATCGTAGGATCTTGTAACGGAACGAATCAGGACGTGATAAACGAAAATAAAACCTTCGCTAATGTTTGAAGACTTATTTAAGGTTTAATTAACGCGTTCTAAATGAAGCATTCTAATTTAGCGATGACTGGAGGGAAAACCAAGAAACGATGTTATTTTCGATTTCGGTCATTACACGCGCGTAACCACTTAAATATTGACAATTGATCGATAATAAAAATAGCACACAACGAGCCGGAGGAAAGTTTGTAATAAGATCAAAGGCGTAAGGAGGTCGACAATCGTTCAATGTATAAATATTTGTGGGTTACTCCACTTTGTCGAAGTAAATAACATTTCATGACCCAGTTAAAAAAAAGAAGAAGAAATCGGAAAGCAGAAGATAGTGGAAATTGGAAAGAAAATAAAGTATATGATAATAAACCTTTATCGCGACGATTGAAGAAGATGCATTCATTGTACGAACGATCGTCTGTTTGCACGAAGATAACCCGCAATTTGTTTAAGATTTCATCTGAATCCGTCGATTGTTCGAGCAATATCTGATAATCGTCAATTGTCGAGAGAAGCGCAGATTTTTCATGGACAAATAGACCTACTTATCGACCTAAAGTTTCCATGATGAATGATCATTGTACAATCGTGTTTAGATGTCGGTCACTTTCGCAAAAACAGTGCAATGCAGACCTTCCTGACAGTTCGATAAAAACTCAATGCGATCTATTAATCACAGTTGTGGGTTTTTTTACCATTATAGAAAAAAAAAATTCAATTGGATTTCCCATAAAACGTCGGTCAGATTAATCAAGTTTCTTGATTATATTACATTCTTCGAGCTCCTCTGCTTCCTTTCAATCAGTACATTCTTTCCAACTTCTTTGCCTTTTTTTCTGTAATTCTTTTGGATTACGTAAAAAAGATAATTACGGTGAATGTAGAAAATGTTATATTCCAGATCAATCAAAGATAGAGTATCAGAGTCTTAAAAATCGTATCGACACAATCAAAAGATCATTAATTTAAATCGCTTTATCATTCGGCAAGATATCAGCCACTTGAAAATTCATATTATGAAAGCTATCATTTTATTCATCTTCCATTATAGTTATTATAATTCAATTTCTAAGTTTTCGTGATTTAAGCGATCTTAATGCATCAATAACCAGGGAGATCCATTTTGAAATTTAGATAATTGAATTAAAGAGATGAAGATGGTACAATTATGTATTCTCTAGATGGAACATATCAACGAAGGAAAAAAATAATCTACTGCCACGATTAAGAGAAGCCGTTGGTTCTAAGCGTTCCTGCAAACAGAAGTTAAGTTCTGCAAACATTTCGAAGGCCGGTTAAACGCGATACTAAAACGCGACTACCCGTGTCAATTAGTCAGTGATGCATAATGACAAGGTAAATGAGCCTGTCCGAACCCTGGACTGTCCTCGTTCGCGATACAACGATTCGACAATGAAACTCGCAGGGGAAAAATCAGTAGCTGAAAATGCAAATCACGAATGCACGAAGTTCGCGACCTCGTGGAAACGTGACTAACGCGCACGCAGTCGAAACAAAGTCTTGCATTCGCCTTCGAATAAATCAAGCCTTAAACAGCTTTCGAATCTGTAATTAGCATTCGTTTTGGTATTCACGAATTACGAAGCGATCGCAGTAACTCTTTATAGCAGATACTTTATACTTCGCCTTGAATTTTGGAAATTTTATACGCAAACATTACCAAAGGTAATTGCAAATTTTTCCAAAAGTAAGAAATTTTCAAATTTCAGCTTATGTGCTTATTATCTTCATTTATCTCGTCGTACGTAAATACCAAGAAAGCTTGGATCATGCTAATGACACGGTACCGTATCGCTAATAGCCTTTGTTGGGAGATAATGAAAGGAGCGTATAATTATTACTTTCGCTCGCTTAGAATTTTGAAAACTACTTAAATACCAACAAAGCTGATGACATTCTTATTATCGTACCATTATTTCAATTCGTTTATCCTTTATTAAAAGAAAATGATAAGAGGAAAGGCTACTACTTGTATTTTCATTCGTTTCGCTTTTATTTTGGAAATAAATACAGAGCTGTGAAAACAAAACAATAACAATATTGTAATTATTAATTTAGCTCGCGACACTATCGTCGAGTTGACGGATCATTTTCGAGGGATCAACACCAGCCGGGGTACTGTTCGAGGTAAACATCGACGTTATGGTAGCGGATGTGCGCTGCTCGTTTCGTTCACATTCTTATCGAGAGTATAGTGGTCGTGGTGTTTTGAAAAAGAGAAAATCGTCGAACAGATAAAAACAGACTGGCACGATCAACGGTCCGGGACAGCCTGATAAATATGTAGTCGGGCTACCCGATGATGATTTCACTGCGATGACAAAGAATGTAACGGATGAAATTATTTTTAACCGATTTATGACAGAAAATTCGTTTCCATCGACGCAAAATGTCTCTCATTAATGAATGAATTCTTTGATGAGAAACTGAACGATCATTATCGATGATCCAAAGTTCGTAACACGTTCGAAATGAATCGTTACTTATCGATAGACGCGTATGATCGATCATTGTTTCGCGCATGGCTAGTGTGAAAAAGCGACGAACGATAGAAGAAGGGTGAAATTCTCTGAACAGGGTGAAAACACGTGTCCATATGAATTACTTACATTCTAGACCCCATCCTGGACCCCATGGTGCTGTCGCGTTGAAACTCGTCTAATGCACTCGGTCCGGGAACAGAGAAGCTGTCGTTAAAGCGGAAAAATGCTTCCCCTCCGCGTTAGCTCGCGGGGCTAGGTAAGCGTCGAAACCGCTCGACTTAACGCCACGCCGCGCCACTCGAGGCACTCTCCTTTGTCCTATATTTCACAGCTCGCGGAGCTTCAAACACTCGAAAGTTTGTCAGTGTTTAGTCATACGAAGGCGGCAGCAACAGCACAAGTTTGTACACTCGTTATTAAGTAGTAAGAGGAGGAAAAGAAGGAGGAGGATCAGGAGGAGGAGGAGGAGGACTGATGCAGCAGTGAGCGGTGCGACAAGACGAAAAGTTGGGGGAGAGACACCGAGGACATCGTGGGCAGCGTCACATTTTTCCGACGTTCTCTCATCTGGATCGTTGTCAAAGCTGGGTCAACAGTTCGTCTGCTGGGATACCCAGGGACGCTCCATGAAACTGATTGGATATCCCTATCTCTCTATTCTAGAGAATACTTCGCCTCTTCCTCCGAATGTCTCCTCCTTTTTTCGCGAAACACGCGACGCTGGGTCTACGAATCGCTCATGGCCACGTCCTCTTCGCGGATCGTTACAATTCGTAACAGATAACGTCACGAATTCGACAGATGCGTTCTAATCGAACTGATAAATGTTTTGAGAAGTGTGCTTCATCGTCGCGCTTGATTAACTATTCTTCCAGATATACCGACGACCTTTAAACAACGATCGAACAGAGGCAACGCTTCTGTTTCGCGCTTACGCGAAACTGATTGGTGACTGAGATCGTGGCATTCCCGATAAATCGCCGTGGAAATCCTTTCAGATAGAGATACCGATTCCGTCGGTACCAAGACGTCGCATCGACGTGTAATTTCACCGAGCTAGATATAATCGCTCGTCTGGAAACTGATAACTAAGATTCTTGGCTAACTTCCGATAGATATCTAACTTGTTAAACAATTTCGAAGAGTAATTCATTGGAATTACCAAAAAGAATTAAACGCTACAATAATTCAAAGTTATACTTTTGTTAAATTGCTTCATGCTTCATTTTAATTGATAATGAAGTTCATTATTGTATGTAGTATTTTATTTCCCATAATGATTTGTTTTTAAACTTTTAATAACGAAGTTTTAATTAAACTTTGACAAGGTGTATTTTAAACTGGTATGCCTTCTTTCCCAAATTTTTATTTCGAAAGAAGCCGCTCTTTTCATTTTAGTTTGCTGATGCATCGTTGAAAGGCGCTTGCATACGTTCGTCTTCGGACGCTTGCTGCTTCTGATCTATCTCAACATGTTTATTGTTATAATTCATGACAAAAATTATGTTCATTGTGTTATATGTCAATGGTGTTGGTTAATTTTTCAAAACAGAATTAAAAGTGAGAAATCCGTTCAATTTCCAATGAAAACGTTGAATATATAATACCGCAACAATTCCTCAAATATAATAGGCATGATGCCTTGACAGGAGAATCTTCACTCTTGAATTCGTTGGGTTTATTTAATAAACGAGTTGACTTTCGGTTGACAGAGCTGGCTTAAACAAAAAAGTATCAAGTGCCGTTTAACAATGTCTGTCACAGAAACTACAGTTATTTTCGCCAAATTAGAGGCGTTGAAAGATATCAAGTATGTAAATGAGTTTACTTCTGAACAGTTTTCTTTTGAATTCAATAAAATTTTAGAGAAATCTACAAATTGTAAATCATCTCTACATGATACTGACAACTCAGTCCAGAATAGATTAAAATTAAATTTGTATTTGTATTTTGGTAGATCAAAGACCCTGCAGCTGGAGAAAATGAAGCAAAGAATATTGCAAGAGGTAGAGCAAACTGAACAAGAAGAAAAATGTTTATTGGAATACAAGCAGGAAATGGACCTTCTTATGCAAGAAAAGATGGCACATGTTGAAGAATTACGACAGATACATGCAGATATTAATGCGGTATAATAAAGCATGGTTTTAACGTTATCTCCCAAGTAAATGATATATCATTTATGTAATTGTTTTAGATGGAAACTGTTATTAAGCAAGCAGAAGAAGCTAGGAATAAAGCAAGGGAAACTGCAAAATTGATTCATAATAATGATTATCAACCTTTGAAACATGATATTGATCGTATGCGCAGAGAATTTTTGGGGTTGGAAAGATTACCAGAATTATATGAAACAGAATCTGATCTTATTTCACCAGAGTTTGTTTCTTGACTGTTATTAAGTACAAATAATATAAGCTATTTTGAACTGAATGTTAATTATATAAATTGTTTATTTATAGCTATTTTGAACGTCCAATGCAAAAAGCAGAATGGAGGGTAGAAGTCAGAGGTGATGATTTATTACCTCCTCTTACTTTACACCATCCTGGCCACCCAGGTGGTTCCACACCTTTTCTTGCTCCTCAACCTCTTCAGGGTCCAAGTAAACCAGAACCAAGACCATTACCACCAGCCCCGGGTCCACCGGCTCCAACATTCAGGTACCACTGGTATATCGCGATTTTACATTACATTTACATACAGCAGGGCATGTAAACCTATATCCTAATAACTATTAATGATATAACTTTCCCAATTAGTTAAATAATATTAAATAATAAGAACTTGTGTAATAACATGTTACTATTCTACTGTTTCTTTGTTTTTAGGCAACAACCACCACCAATGAAATCATGTTTATCATGTCATCAACAAATTCATAGAAATGCACCAATTTGCCCTCTATGTAAAGCTAAGTCTCGATCGCGTAATCCTAAGAAGCCAAAGAAAAAAGACTAATTGTAATTATAAATGTTATTTATATGGAACACGAAATACTTCTGTCATTTATTTCTAAGGGCATGTGTTAATGGTTTTGTTTTATAACTTATAACAGTTCTACAACCCTATAATGTACTGTAAAGAACTCTATTCTCAACCTCTATCAACAGCAACATAGGTGGATATAATAGGTAATAATTCTATAACAGATATAAATAAAACTTAATGTTTTACGATTTTCATAAAAAAAAATTGTAAAGTTTAGTAATTGTCGTTTACATAAACAGAAAACGTTTTATTACAATATTTGTCCATTAAATAAACCTTTTATATTAATTTTTATGAAATGGAATTAAGGTGATGCGAGCGTCGAAAACTTTACCGACAGTCCCTAAAGAAATCCCTAGACGCGAGTTTTCAAATTACGTCCTCATTTCTAAACAGAATGTAAAAAAATTTGAGGGACGTGTTCAGAAGGTTCTAAAGAATATTTGTCTGGTCCTTATATTATCCAAATCGTCAAAAACTTATAAAATATTGAAATTGCTGTCTGTCAACAGTCAAGAAAATGGCGGATCGGACTCACCTGCATTGATTTATTCGTAATATAAACATTTCTGTGAATCGTATGTCCAAATAGGGACCAGACTGATATTCTTTGGGTCGGATAGAATAAAACTAGCACCCAAGGGATGATGTACAAGTCTCCAGGTAGAAGTAATTTGAAAACTACGATTTCGTTGATTGTTCACTCGCGAAAGACGTCAACAAGGTAAAACAGACCAGAAATTTAGTTTCTCGTTCATTCTGTAGGGCGCAGTTCGTTCGTTTGATTAATAAACAATTGTAAAATTAAAAATAATAATTAAATAATTTTTAATAGAATAATTAAACAAAATTTTGCAATATACCCACGCGGAAATGTAAAGAAATAAACAATTTAAATAGATATAACAATAATTTGATTAATAAACAATTGTAAAATATAAAATAATAATTAAATAAATATTAACAAATATCAGATAGAAGTAGTTAAATGTAACCGGCCGCGGAACCGGTGAAGCGGAACGTCATGCTTGACTGGGCGCGTCGCGCGCCGGTACAACGGCGACCTGGAGGAAGGTCAAATCTAATCAGTCTTATCGCGACCGCCGAAGGATACGGATGGAGCTGCCAAACATATACCGGTACGGGTTGACACTATCGATATTCGTGCATGGATTTATCAGTGTGTTACCACAAGTGTTTCTATGTGTGCCTATGGTGCTTCCTATAGTGTTTCCCATGTGTTTTGGAATATTTATACGGATATATTAGTGCGTCTTATGGTGTGGTCACCCATGTGTTCTGACATTTTTATACAAGTGCATTAGTGTGCTGTGTGGTGTGGTACCCCATGTACCTGCATGTGCTTTATTGTGTTTTATGGTGTGGTTTCCTTTGTGCTTTGGCATATATTTACGGATTTATTATTGGGTTTTATGGAGTGGTACCCTACGTGTTTTGGCATATTTATACAGATTTATTAGTGGGTTTTATGGAGTAGTACCCTTTGTGTTTTGGCATATTTATACGGATTTATTAGTAGGTTTTATGGATTGGTACCCTATGTGTTTTACTATATTTTTGCAAATATTTTATAGTGTTCTATGGTTTTGATCTTCGAGTGTTTTGGGATGTATTTGCATGTGGTTTACCGTGGTTTATGGTGTAGTTATTCCCATATAGTTTTGCATGCATATTTTTGAATTCTCCTATGTATTAACATATTAACTACAACAAATTGAGAGAAAACATATATCGTTCAAGAATCGTGATTTTTATGCTTTCAGATGAGTGCTTTGGCCAGTGGGGATACCGTTTCTTTGACGAGGCAACATATGAGCTATGGGTCAATCTAACAATAAGATGCGTGGCGAGTGCAGTGGTGCAAGTCAACGATCGGTGAGTCGCATGCTTTAAAGTTCCTCCGGTTCCCATCATGTCGTAGGACGAATGGTCCGTAGCTACACGGGAATTGGTTGTAATTTTTATTTTTTGAGCGAGCATAGTGACCCACGAATATCACTGTATCATTTTATACAATGATAATCGTTCAAATTGCTTTTTTGTGTATTTTATGCCTTAGCTCAGGATAGGGTTTTCTTGTACATATTTGCATGTATAGATTTCGAGTTTAAAAATGTAGAGAAGTCGGATGACCCTCCGATTTCACAATACACCTTCTTTTTTATATGTACAAGAATTTATTTCGCGATGAGCAGATTTCAATATCAAAGTAATAAGCATGAATACTTTTAATTATTCCAACTACTTACTTTGATAACGAAATCGCTCTTGAAATTGAAACGTTCTTCCGATTTTACTCGTTAAATTGGCATAAGTTTAGTATATGGGCTGGCCCCCCCACAGGGGGGTGGTTACGTTTACGGTTCTCCGTCCTAAACACTCATCATTCACACCTCAGCCTCACGAACTCTATCACATAATCATTTATCCACCCGCATACCCTTGTGTAGTGAAATATTACCCTGTTAGGATTTTCAAGTTTAAGTAGTGTTGCGAAAAATTTTCAACGCGAGAATAAATATTACCCCGTTAGGATTTTCATGTTTAAGTAGTGTTGCGAAAAATTTTAAACGAGAGAGTAAATATTACCCCGTTAGAATTTTCAAGTTTAAGTAGTGTTGCGAAAAATTTTCAACGCGAGGGTAAATATTACTCTGTTAGAATTTTCAAGTTTAAGTAGTGTTGCGAAAAATTTCCGGCGCGAGAATAAATATGACTATACACTGACTAGTATTCGGTGGGAATCCTTTTGGTTTTTATTTGATAAAATTAGTTACAAGGATTCCGCGGCATAAGACCGTGAATACCACCTCATGGGAGATAAAACCATGCATTACTAGGCCTTTTCAGGCACAGCCATAGAGTACGGAACATTTAAGTATGTTGCATCCCATACGCTAAGCTGTCTTAAAGTCCTTTTGCCTATACTATGGGCGTCCACCACTCGGACACGTTGGATGCAACGTGTTCGATGGGTGGGTAGCGCTCTTAGCGAAGGGGTGCACCCTGCCTGGGCCTAGAGCCTTAACAGGCGGGGTGGGTGGTATGTAGCGTCGGGCGCAAGTCCAGGGGGCCTAAGAACCTCCGTTGCCAGCTGATATTAGCAGTGGACGAATGTTTGAGTCATATTTGCTCAATTTTGCTTTTCAGTATTTGCTCTTCAAGCATAATTTAAAGCTCCCCTTTAGTCATGTTGCTAGATCAGGATTTTCTATTTTAATTAGTGTTGCGAAAAATTTCCAGCGCGAGAGTAACTATGACGATGCACTTACTAGTATTCGGTAGGAATCCTTTTGGTTTTTAAACTCAATGTTTTATTTAATTAATCAAATTAGTTACAAGGATTCCGCGGCATAAGACCGTGAACACCATCTCTGGGAGATATACCCATGCATTACTAGGCCTTTCAAGGCGCAGTTTAGAATGTGGCGCACATCCATATGTTCCATTTAATAAACTGCAGTCCTTTTGTCTATACTATGGGCGTCCGTCAATCTGACACCGTTGGATGCAACGTGTTGGACGGACGGGTAGCGCTCTTAGCGAAGGGGTGCACCCTGTTCTAGGCGGGGTGGGTGGTATGTAGCGTCGGGCGTAAGTCCAGGGGGCCCGAAAACCTCCGTTGCCAGCTGATATTAGAAGTGGACCATTTTTGCGTCATAGTTGCTCTATTTTGCTTTTCAGTATTTGCTCTTCAAGCATTGTAGAAAGCTCTTCTTTCGTACTTGAAATTCATTCTGTCACGTTCACGATTCTCGACTCTAAACACTCATCATTCGCACTTCAGCCTCACGAACTCTATCACATAATCATTTATCCACCCGCATACCCTTGTGTAGTGAAATATTACCCCCTTAGGATTTTCAAGTTAAAGTAGTGTTGCGAAAAATTTTCAACGCGAGAGTAAATATTACCCCGTAAGGATTTTCAAGTTTAAGTAGTGTTGCGAAAAATTTTCAATGCGAGAATAAATATTACCCCGTAAGAATTTTCAAGTTTAAGTAGTGTTGCGAAAAATTTTTAACGCGAGGGTAAATATTACCCCGTTAGAATTTTCAAGTTTAAGTAGTGTTGCGAAAAATTTCCGGCGCGAGAGTAAATATGACTATACACTGACTAGTATTCGGTGGGAATCCTTTTGGTTTTTATTTAATAAAATTAGTTACAAGGATTCCGCGGCATAAGACCGTGAACACCACCTCATGGGAGATAAAACCATGCATTACTAGGCCTTTTCAGGCACAGCCATAGAGTACGGAACATTTAAGTATGTTGCAGCCCATACGCTAAGCTGTCTTAAAGTCCTTTTGCCTATACTATGGGCGTCCACCACTCGGACACGTTGGATGCAACGTGTTCGATGGGTGGGTAGCGCTCTTAGCGAAGGGGTGCACCCTGCCTGGGCCTAGAGCCTTAAACAGGCGGGGTGGGTGGTATGTAGCGTCGGGCGTAAGTCCAGGGGGCCTAAGAACCTCCGTTGCCAGCTGATATTAGCAGTGGACGAATGTTTGAGTCATATTTGCTCAATTTTGCTTTTCAGTATTTGCTCTTCAAGCATAATTTAAAGCTCCCCTTTAGTCATGTTGCTAGATCAGGATTTTCTATTTTAATTAGTGTTGCGAAAAATTTTCAGCGCGAGAGTAACTATGACAGTGCACTTACTAGTATTCGGTGGGAATCCTTTTAGTTTTTAAACTCAATGTCTTATTTAATTAATTAAATTAGTTACAAGGATTCCGCGGCATAAGACCGTGAACACCATCTCATGGGAGATAAAACCATGCATTACTAGGCCTTTCAAGGCGCAGTTTAGAATGTGGCGCACATCCATATGTTCCATTTAATAAACTGCAGTCCTTTTGCCTATACTATGGGCGTCCGTCAATCTGACACGTTGGATGCAACGTGTTGGACGGGCGGGTAGCGCTCTTAGCGAAGGGGTGCATCCTTTCCTAGGCGGGGTGGGTGGTATGTAGCGTCGGGCGTAAGTCCAGGGGGCCCGAAAACCTCCGTTGCCAGCTGATATTAGAAGTGCACCGTTTTTGCGTCATAGTTGCTCTATTTTGCTTTTCAGTATTTGCTCTTCAAGCATTGTAGAAAGCTCTTCGTTCATACTTGAAATTAATTCTGTCACGTTCACGGTTCTCGACCCTAAACACTCATCACTCACACTCATCATTCATCAGTATAGTGAAATCTTAGCTCGTTAGATGTTTATGTACTAGTCATGGTTTT